ATCTTATCTCAGTTTACCCAGGCCTTGACTGTTCGGTTATCAGGTTCAGGACCTTTGTCCGTCCATCTCCTGGTCTCATTAAGAAATGTAAAAAATTAGGTGAAACAATAATTATTCATGTCAAGGTTGATATAGTATTTTCCTTCATTTCTCAAATTCTGTAAGGCAAATATCAGCAGACTGCCCAAAAGACTGGGTAAAAATACAGAAAAAAGTAATATTTATAAACATTGATATGCATTGTACGTACATATGCAGGTATGTGTATGCGTGACTGTGAAGAAAGCAAGATACAGATGTATAATGAGAATTTAGGTTTTTGGTGGGTATTGAAACAAGAGCCTCATGCAAGCTAAGTACCTACTCACCACCCTGTTTTGAAAACAATATAAATAGGTACGAGAAATAGACATCGATCCACCTTTTTTCTTCTTTCCTTTAAGTATAAATGCCTACCTGACACTGAAGAAAGTCGTGACCTGGACCTGCTCCTGTCTTGGTCAACATTACAACAAAATGAAGCACAATCTGGCTGGGGATTTAGCTCAGCGGTTCCAATGCCTCCTTCTCAGGTCCCGAGTTCAATATCCCGTACCAAAAAAGAAAAAGCACAATCACTTTGGCCTTTCTACCTGGCTTCATTTATGTTAAGAAGACTCAAAAGCACATCTTATTATGGCCCTCTCACATTTTTTTTTCACTCTTTTACAGGATCCACTAAAGACAGAATTATTTTGCTTGTGTTGGAACTCAGTAACAAGAATGATAATTATTCATTTATTGTGATGACTTGCATGTATATTATCTTACATTTAAGCATGATATTTTACATAATATAGAATACATTCAATGTATTAATGATGATATAATTAAAATAAATGAAATAACAAAAATAATTTTCACAAAATAATATAGTGCATTTATTCTTCCATCTTAATATATGCATATAATAAATTGTATTACACACTAAAACATAATAAATTATATTGTATTTATTGTAATGATATTTAATATATGGTATATAATATGCAAAATATATATTACATAAAATAATTTTATTTTTAGTAATAAATGATTCCAACAGATACAATAAAGTTCTGATTCTAGGTCCATCACAATGCTAACTAGATCTACTTTCTTAGAGAATTATGCAACTTCTGAAACTCACATACCTAACAACAATACTTAGAGGTACAGTTTGAAACAGAGTCATCTCAGTTCCAGGAGTATAATCTTACCCACCATATGTTGTTTCAAGGCAACTGCTGTGAATATTATCTCTCTATAGGTCAGTTACAGGAACAGTATATTCTTCTGGATAACTCATTTAAATCTGACAGAACATGTGAGTTTGAAACAAATTGTTTCTACTAACAATATTATAAACTCCTTAAATCCACAGACTTAATCTTAAATATTTTGGTATGCCTAACATCTATCACTATACAGACTGTAGTGTTTTACGTGTTTTATATGTTCTTTGGCCCATTAGTCTGTTTTCTAATCTCTCTATATAATAATTAACTGTATAATGTCTTTTAAGATGAATCTGATGCTGAAAATAATAACAGGAGGGGTGGAGGGAGGGGGGAAACGAGGGAATCAAAATGTGTTATGTACATGTACCAATCTGCTATGAATGTAATCATTATGTCCTGTAAACATGTACTCACAAAAGTCAGAAAAGGACTTAAAATATCATAAAAATAAATATGTAGTATACTGAGTATAGTGTTATCAAACAAATTAATAAATTGATAAATGAATGTAGATATTTTTCAAAATGATCAAAAGATCTAAGTTTCTAAAAATAATTTCTCCTAACATTAACTTTTTAACTGTATCAAAAGACTACAGGGCATTAAGAGCCAAATATCCTAAGACCAAGATCTGAAAATAAGTTGACAGAGGCAATCAAAGCTTTCTGACTAACATATCCTTAACTGACAAGTTTCATGTGCATTTTTTTAATTGAGTTTATTGGTACAATCTAGGTATACAATACAGTTACATTCATCATTGGGATTCTGTACCTTTACATAATAGGTCTTGATTCTCATTTTTTCCCCTCGTCCCTGCCCTCCTTTCACCCCCTCCTCCCCTCCCCATTTAAAAACACTTTATTTCAACTTTTTCAGTTTCTCATATTTTTTTCCTTTCCCTTATTACCTTTCCCCCACCCTTCCCACTTTCCCTACACCTTTAGCCTTTTACTTCCTATTTCACATTATTAATTATCTCATTAGGATCCTGTGTACTATTAGAGTTTTTCACACCAAAGAAACTATTCGGTATTTCAGTTAAAGAAATCTCTGTATGAACATTAAAAATAGGGAATCCTAAAATAAAACTAAAAAGGAAAGTAAAAGAGAAAAGGCAATGATGTAACATTAAAATAATCCTTAATTCTGGAGATGAAAATGGTCCCCAAACATATTTAAATTGCTTCTTGCTCTTATAGTCTTATCTTATTCTTTTTTTCATTATTTAGAGAATACTTAATTAGTTTCTGTAATCAAACCCACGTAGATATGACCTTACATATTTAGTACGATGTGTTATCCCATACATATGGAAAAAAAATAAAAATAAATTAACATTTCTAGACCAATATGGCTGTCCATTTCTGTACAATGCCAACTCAACACAGTAAATTGGGATGACTTTTTCCAAAGTTGCCAGCACTTTGTAAACAGAGCTTCAACATGTTATGACACAGCAAGTCCAAATCAGGAAACATTATTATTTTGATAAAGGTGACTCAAACATTCCTAATACTAAATCCTTTCTCAGCAAGTAGTCAGTCATGTGAACATGGGAAAATGTATTCACCCTTGTGCTGTTCAGTTTTCTGATATTCTCAAAAAGAGTAGGACTGGGTGAGAGCACAACTCTGACAATATGTGAATCCCTGACAGCTGAAGTCACATTTTGGGGTTGTTATGTCAACTATTGGAAAGCTCTTCAAATCTCCTTTGAAAAAGAGTAGCATAAGAGTTTCTTCTGTTCTCAGGTTTATCCTGAGTTGTCTGATATTTGTTTCCATTCCAAGAGGAATTCATTTCTCACTGGGTTCATATAGATGTCATCTGTGTGAAAGCAATATAGGGGAAACCAGGGACTTGGCACGGTTTTTGTTCCATTTTACATTAAGTACCTGAAGCAACACACATTTTGTTCCATTCATATCGTTTAATATATGTGCCAACATGATTTCTTTAGATAAATTTCTCCATGAAAGTGCTTTCTCTTTGTGTATTTGATATATTTTAAAGTAACTGGTCTGGAACATACTTCTCAGGTAGATATAAGTTTAATAATACTCAGTTTGGAATTTTTTACTTTGGCTACCAGGAGGTTCGTACAGACAAGTATGGAAGGGGATGACGTCTTGCTTCTGAGCATGCCGAGCTAGGGCAAAACCAAAAATAAGCTGACTTAATGCTTGTCCTGACTTCTCAAAGTCACTCTCACAAATCCTCTTTCCCTCCAGATGTCCTCCCTTTCTTGCCCCCAGGGATGAATCTAGTATCATACCTGAGGAGAAGTAACTTCAGAGATTGTACTGTGGAGGGAGGTTTGCAGTTTCTTCCTTTTCTTTTATTAAAGAAGCTGCTTGGGCCTGGGGGAAGTGAAGGCCCTGGGTTCACTTCTCAGACACACACACACACACACACACACACACACTGCCCTTAGGGTGAGGCATAGACACAGGAACCACAAACCACAAAACATGCAACTAGGAAGCCCACTAATAGAGTAGTCGGGGAGAGACTGGGACTGCAGTCTGGGAAATCTGTATTCTGATTATGCCATTCATTATCTGTGTGACTTTTGAAAAACCAGTACATCTATCTATAAAATAAGAGAGCTGGGGGAGGTACATAATTGTGTAATCCTGTTCATCATGTAACCCTGACAGCCTGACAGAGCAGTATCTCTTAGGAGATAATACTTTATTTCTTCTATTGATGTTTCTTCAGAAGATTAATTTTGTATAAAAGAAATACAAGAAACTTCATACAATTCAGCTTTTAAAATGTATACTTTAATCATATTTATTATAGCCATGATGTCGGGTAGACATAGCCATTGTCTAATTCCAAAATATTTTCATCAGACTGAAAAGAAACCATATACCCATGTAGTCATTCCTTATTCTATCCCAGTTCCTTCTCTGAGCAGAGAGTAATCTACTTTCCATTTCTTTGGATTGGCCTATGGATTCAAATAAATAGAACAACATAATGTATGGCCCTATGTCTGCATCCATTTACAAAGCTTAATGCTTTCCAGATTTATTCACGTCATATGTATCAGTACTTCTATCATGTGAGTCTACCAAATTTTGTTCATTATTTTATCAGTTGATAGACATCTGGGTTATTTCCAATTTTTGGCTGTTACAAGTAATACTGCTATGAACTAATGTGTATAAATAAATGCTGCTTTGGTGATTGTAGTCTGCCAGTTCTCTGGAAAAAGCCTTTCAAAAAGGCACCCTGGTCTTCCTTCACTGTTTCACTGTGTTTGTCTAGGTTCAAGACAGACGTTCTTTCCTTATGATGGCATCTTACAGAGGCTGTGATGAAGGATACATTTACCCCATATTTTGGGTCAACACCTGACCAGATTTATATATATGTCACTCTTCTGCTGCAATCTGTCTCCTAATCCACTTCCCAATGAAGGCTGGAGCGCTACCCTTATTTCTGTAAAGCCTAGAAAAGGAGGGAATTATTTTGCAGCTACAGTTTAACATTGAAGACTACAAGGCCAGCTTTTTTTTTTTAATCTTCTAACTCAGTGCGGTCCACTATAAATACAATGAAAAATCTCACATGCATCTTTAAAATTTCTAGTATGCACATTAGAAAAAGAAAATAGGCAATTTATGTTATTTTATGTAGCCTATTGCACCCATTTTAACATCCAGTCATATAAAAATTACTAATGAAGTATTTTATATTCAACATCCTGGGGCCGGGTTGTGGACAAAGAAAAGAAAGTGACATGAAAATGGAAAAGACTTGGAGCAATGGATATGTCTACATGCCAACAAGTATCATGAATTACTGCCACAGCCAGAAGCTACAAAATGGCAAAGCTGGATTCTATCTAGGGACTCAGACGAAATACGGCCATGTGGATAAGTGATTTCACACTTTCGCCTCAAGAATTGTGAGACAATAAATTGCTGTTGTTTTAAGCATGCACTGTGTGGTAATTTGTTATGGTAGCCCTAAGATACTAATCCAGATTTGAAGAACTCAGTTTGTGCTAGGCACATTTCAAGTGCTCAATAGATGTAACGTGCCTGTTTTTTACACAATTTAAAAATCTTGGGTGCCCCCACCTCTGCCTCTAAAGCACAAGGACCCAAGTTCGATTCCCGGTACCAAAAAAAACAAAAAATCTTCAGAGGGTTATTTTTTGTGATATCTTCCAAATTGCTTTAGAAATAAGAACTTTGGAAATGAGTCTTAACTCATATCTGAAGAGGTGAGCCAGCTCCCTTAGAATCAATTGTTTCAAAAAACACAATAACGGTACCTTCCTTCAGGGAAAGTATTCTTGATTACTCTGAAAAGACACAGAGCAATCCAGTAATCCACAAGGGGTTTTGCAAAATATGAAAAATTATTTCTTTTATTGCTCCAAGTATAGAATTCATACCTAATAACATGTAAATTAGTTACTAAAAAGAGTAATTGTACCCTGGTTGTAGAGTCAGCGGATATTTTCTTCTATTTTCTATTATCCAAGTATTCTGTAATGTAGTTTATTGCTTTCCTTTAAAATTAAGGAATAAAACCTTTTCTACATTTATTTCATTATAAAATTTATAGAGGGCCTAGGTTAATAGCACACTTATTGGTGGTACACAGGCACTAACATACCTAGATCAACCACTCTTCAATAAGGTGCTTTGAGAACCAGGCTGATTTAGATATAAAGGATATATATATAAAACCACTAGGTTCTGAAAAAGAAAGCTCAAGTTTCAATTTTGCCATTGATATCTGCTATATAATATTGAGCAGGTTATGCACCTCTCAGACATAATAGAAAATTGTAATTACAACAATTTTTTCCCTGTTTGTTTTTCAAGAGCATATAGTGTGGTTCACAACCTCTCCTTAGCATCAGAATGCCCTGGATGGCTTGTTAATACCCAAACAACTACATCTATAAAGACTCTCATTCTATAGGTCTTGGTTAACATCCAAGAATCTTCATTTCTTATAGTAAATGTGATACCTATTAAACCTTCTGGCTCACTGGATACTGTTTGAGAACTACTGGTTAATAGTATTTTACAAAACGTTAAGCTCCATGAGTACAGGTACTGTATTTCAATACATATCATAACAGTTAAAAGCTTCAGAGCTAGATAGACCCAAGTTCAAATGATGCCTTAGACTTTCTCTGACTCTATTTTCTTAGGCAGGACATGCAACTCCTCATCTATAAAATGAGAGGGATACTGTAGGGTTAAATGACATCATACTCTCAAGAATGTAGCAATCTATTTGGCACATATATGCCTAGTAGATTTGTTACTGTTATTATTGAACTTGTTTCTAGACCCTAATAACCTTCTTAAACAGCTGTTCAGAAAATACGTGCTGAGCAAATTAAAAGCAATATTAGGGGAGTGTTGAACCACATCATCATCTAACACAGTTCTTCCAAAAGGCAGTATTTTGGTTAAAATCACTAAGGAGAGTTTAGAAGTAGGGGAAATGGAAGCATATGGTACAAAATGGAGTCTCTGCTTCAGTATCTTATATCACAGCAACCATAGTGGCTTCTATGTGCTCCTGTATGTTTTTTTTAAAATATAAAAATCACTTATATATCTTTATCACTATGAAATTTTCATTATGTAGATGGATCTCCTATCCTCTTCATGTCTATCACAGAAACCATTCACCAGGCCTTCAGATGGGTGTCTCCAACTTGTATGGGTCCTATATGCCTTGCTGCCAAGAGGCAGACTCTAAATGCTCTGTCACCTGCATGAAAATGTATGCAGCTACTAGTTTGCTGCTGCTACTGCTGTGCTAAAATGATGATGGCATTAAGAGTGAATGATAGTTGGTCCATGTACGAAGACAGACACATTTTCTGAGTGTTCTACATACATGTACATACACACATATCCAAGCACACACATTTAATAGGTTTAAATATTTATTACCACAGGTACTTATAACTATATCCTCATTGCATAGAGGAAGTCACACTGCAAGAAGGCAGGAAAGAGCAATAGATATTATAAAATTTATTATACAACCTTCAACCTCAGAAGAAGGTGCTGAAACTAGTGGTCAAAAAAATGTCCTAGGCTGCAGCGGCATTATCATCATCATCATCATCATCATCAGCAGCAGCAGCAGCAGCAGCAGCATCAGTAAGAACAACAACAGTGCCATGATAGGAACTGATTTAATTTAGAAGCAAACTGCATTGTTAGATATCAATACTTTCAAGTCTTCAAATATATGTTAAATGATGGGTAACTGCCACATGTAGCAGCAGCAGCAGCAGCAGCATCAGTAAGAACAACAACAATGCCATGATAGGAACTGATTTAATTTAGAAGCAAACTGCGTTGTTAGATATCAATACTTTCAAGTCTTCAAATATATGTTAAATGATGGGTAACTGCCACATGTCAGACACAGTATCAAGTGCAAAGGCCATAACAATGATACCAATCCTCATAGATACCTAAAGGAGGTAAATACAGTTAGTTTCCTATTTTGTACATGACTATGAATGCAACCCATAACAGAGAGGGATGGCATTTCTGTAATGCACAGCTTAGAACCAGCAGATGTACCTATGTAATTGCAGAGCCCATGGTCTTAACTGTCAGCTTTGCTCGTGTTTTGGCATGATGCTATGACTACTCTTGTATTCCTGTCATCCTCAAGCTTCAAGGCAGCATCACTGATCCAGCATTTCAACAAGAATTCTCCATGAGCTGATATTAAAACCATATAATGTTTAGTTCTCACATATCGTTTTTCCCTCCTCTTCCTAATTTGTTCCATTCATTGATGTTCTATCATTTTAGTCTATGTATGATATGTCCTAGACTCTATCAGTAATCCCTTCTGCTATTTATAGTTAAGACATCCAACTTGGCTGAGCATAACTAATGAAGCCATTAATGATTTTGCTTTAGGAGGTTTAAATTGAACACATCTAATAACTTTCTGTTTGTATTCCAGCTACTGTATGTCCATGCCTGCAGGGATATAAAATCTCTGCCAGTTTCTCTATTTACCTCAACATCTTTACTACTGATTAATATTTTCCCACTGTGAGAATGTTTAAATACAAAAATTAATATTGAAAAGTACTTTTACATTTGCTATTTATTATTTTCTGGGAATACTTACTTCATTCTTTTCCAGAATTTTTATCACTCTTTTTCAATTTACTTATTAGCTCTTCTCTTGGTTAAATTTACCAATTGGGCTTCATTTCATGCCCATAGTTATGAGAGAGCATAGAGGAAATATGAAATTCTTACTTTGACTTCAGTCAATGTGACTGTAAATGCACGAGGAAGCTAGTTGTTGAAAGAGAAACAATAATGTAGAAGCTTGTTGTAGGACTATGCTTTGCAGTAATTAAATGAAAACAGACATTTCCCTCAACTCTCTTTTGATCTTCATTAAATATGTTACTTTTACAAGAACAGAGGCAGCACTAGGTATAATGTCTATATTATTTGCATGTCATCTGTTTTTCTGTTTATTCTGAGAAAACATGAAAGTCTTGGAGACAGAAATATCATACCTGTCTGTGCTGTGTGGCCAAGATTTAGAACTAACTTTTGTGAGCTCTCTCATTCTGCGGAGACTCATGGTGCGGAGACATGGGCATGATGAAGAAGGGAGGATACTTGCCAGTCCTGAGCTTTGATGAAATATTTTGATTGTGTAGAAAAACTGTGCACAACAGTTTCTATTACCAATGTCAACAAACTTTGGGAACTCCTATTGTGTACTTGTCCTCTTAGAATCTAGAAAAGCCAAACCTATAGATATCCTACTTTTGTTTTAGTAATAAAGGCTTTCTGATCCTAGAGCACCTCCCCGTGTGTTCTGAGAGCAGGTATTGGACTTTGGTTTGCATTTCTCACTATCATATATTCAAACAGCATCCCCTGTGATTGACTATTCAACCCAGGGCTCCTCCTTGCTTCACTTTTTGAAAACACTCACCAATCTCAGAATATATCTCCCATGAATTATACAGGACCTTTTCTCCACTGCTTACTCTCAGATGCAGCTGTAACAACAGCATAGATTTTTGTGAGCAAATCAACAAAATGTTTGCATTTGGAGCAGAAGCACTTTCTCAAAAAGAGATAATTGCTGAAGTTGGTAAACTGAACCACAGAGTTGGGAATAAATTTAGTCTCACTGAAACCAAGTTCAACTGAGAATGTACCAGGCATACATTTTCTCAGTCATTCACAGAGGGTTTTTAAATGTCCTCATGCCTCGTGCTGCACATGAACATATGGGCCAGGCACTTTGTTCTTCCTTCCAAATTCTGCCAATGTGAACAGAATCAGTAACGCATGGTAACGCATATGACCTATGTGAAATTTTATACTAGTTGAATACAATTCCAGATTTAGCTCTAACCCTATCCGCATACATATCTGCCTTTCAAACCATGTGTATAGATAGAATTGTACATTTCTAGAGTTAAAAGGGACCTTGGAGACCATCTGTTCTACCCACTCATTGTAGAGGTGTAAAGTGAATCCTAGAGAGGCAAAATGGCTTATCCAACATCTGGTAAATAATAAAGCTACTAAATAGTAAAAAGAGAAAAAACTATCTAGACATAGGTCCTACGTAATACTTGGAGATATCACTATATACTGGTAATGTATATACAGACATTTTCATGTAGCTTGTTATACAGTCACTTTTCCACAATCATTGCCAAAGATGTGTTTCTTGTCCAGTTTCTTCCTAACTGCTAACATGACCCATACCAGGTGTCTGTCTGAAATTTATTGATGTGTTATGTTCTTTGTTTGGATTCTCCCAAGGCAGAGCTTGAGAAGGAACTGTGGAGCAGTTAGTTTATCTGGGAAGGAATCCCAGGCAGAAGGAATACAAATAACAACAACAACAACATGGACACTTAGATTCAATCCTGCTAAGGATCTTTAAAGAGCTACAA